GTCGTGGAGCTGAACGGCTCCTCCTGCGGGTTGGCCCCGCTGACGCACTGCCACGTTCCATGGGCCTTTCATCTTCATGACGGTGCTCTGGGTCTCGGGGTGGCGATGGTCGTCTGTTCTTCTTTGCATGGCGCCTGTCCTCCGAGTCCTCTGAGCTGTCCTGGACCATGAATACGCGCTGATGCGGGCTTTGGAAGTACCCGATGTCGGTCAGCTGCTCGATAGTGAGGTCGTTGAGGTCCATCTGGTCGCAGCCCTGCATGAATTCGTCCATAGACCAAGCGGGTAGCCCCGCTGCTGCAGCTGGCGCCGCTTCGGCGGGTGGCCCCGCTAGAGCCTGGAGTGCAGTCAGCATCTGAGGTGCCGACATATCAGGATCCAGGTATGGACGCAGCCTTGCGGCCCCTGGGCGCGACAGCAGGTCGTTCATGGTCATCTGCTGATGTGCTGGCGCACTCAGGAGCTGGATCGCTTCTGCGACCTGCTCTTGGAGCCTGTCATCATAGTCCTCTTCGGCCTCTTCAGAGTCAGAATAAGCTGCGGGATGGCCCCGCATTTCGTCGTCAGCGTCTCCCGCTTCCGAGCCGGCTCGCGAAAGATCAGGCAGCAACGGCGTGCCGATCACCTGCGGTGCCAGCGCGGCGGCGAGCTCCTCCTCGGTCGCCGGGACGGTCTCAGCTTCGGAGATCTCGTCGTCGGCGGGTGGCCCCGCTGGAAGACCGAACCAAGCGTTGAACACGCCCTCGTCGACTTCGTCCCAGCCGTGGAACTCGTCGAAGAGGGTCACCGCGTACTCTTCTAGGGCTACGGTCGCATCAGCGTAGCGGGCCATCACGTAGTACGTGGAGGAGCCTGCGGCGGGAGCCGCTTCTGGATTGACGTAAAACTCGTAGTCAATGTAGTCTATGTCATCCATAAAAGAGTTTTGAGCCAAATGTACGGATCCCTTTCCTTTCCCCTTCGGGCAATGATCGCGCAAATGCTCTGTACTACCGCATGTATGACACTTCATAGTGTTGCCAGAAGCGTCCCTAGGGTTACCCCTCCGCCCTTTTCCCTTACCAGAGGTCCGCCTGTGACCCCGACCTTTGCCTCCGATAAGAACTTCTTCAAAAACTATATCAGTTAAGGACGTGAGGAAAGCAGTGATACCCCTACCATGCATACGGCGTCTGCGACCCCCTTTGCCGCGACCCTTTCCATAGCGTTTGAAATATCGGCGTGCTGCACGTCTCACTTTTTTGACCGGTTTCTTCATAAAGCGCCTCCAACGGCGTTTTGATTTGCGATAAGCCATAAAAGCGGCTTCCGCTCTTTGTTGTTCAGAAAGGTGAGTGTCATCAGCTGGATAGTCATTGCCAGCAGAGACCATGCCATTGTGATCACCGTCAGATGAGGTATCTGTGTCAGTGCCAGATTCAAACGGAGAGGGTGGCTGAGACCCTCGAGCGGATGACTCCGCTTGGCCCCAGAGGGTTGTGCCCGAGGGCGGGCTTGCAGTGTAGGCGGCGCCCGGCGTGTAGTTCGACCAGGCGTTCGCCTCCGCTGCCTCTGCCGATGCCTGGCCGGTCTGCCCTAAGAGGGCAGTGGCCTCGTTGGGCATATCGGCTGGATCAGCCCAGGGACTTGGCTCGCCAGGACCAGCGGGTGACCCCGCAGTCGTGGCGTAAACACCTGCATGTGTGTGGTGCCCTGTGAAGATACCCGCAATGTTGCCAGGAGAGCGCTCGGCAACATGCCCGTAGTTCCTCATCCTGGTTAGCAGCCTATCATAGTCTGCTTGCGTTCTGGGCATCTGATGATTAAAGGGCTCCAGCAGGTGTTGGGCTCGTGACGCGCCAACGCCTAACGCTCTGAAAAGGATCAGCGTTAGGATCTGAAAGTTGGGGATGACAAATCCAACAGAGTTAGCCTCGTCACGGGCCATCTCGAATCGAGCTAACACTGAGTCGATTCGTTCGCCCCTTTCGACGCGAAAGTCGATAAGGGCAGTGCCAGAGTTGAGCTGGCGCTCATCTTCCAGATTTTCAAATTTGGTGCTCAATAGGTAAAGTATATAAGTAACTGCATCCGTTGGCTGTCCGTTGACAGTTACACCATAGTTGATGATCTGGGATGGGACCTGCATGGCGATACGACGAGCAAGGCCTTGAAGACCACGTTGTAGTGCTGCAGCTTGCTGAGGTGGCGTCATATTGCCGCACGTCACGTTTATCCATGCATGTACTTCGCGAACGTACTCGCGAAAGGGCGTAGTACCGGCTGGGTCCCAAGAAGGGCCGGTAGTACGCGTGTCGTCCATCCCCTGCCGCATGTAGCCCACAGCACATCCCATTATCACCCATAGAATGCCGAAGATAGTTATCTTGATCCAGTGCATGTGCATCTCGGCTTCGGTGATTGGTTTAGGCTGTGGTTTGTCAGGCTCGGGCGTAGCAGCCGTAAGGCGCCTGAACGGCACGGGATGCAGGTGGCCCCGCTGCGGGTAGCCCCGCAGAGTGACCACGTTCTCGATCGAGTTGCCGATTGGCATCTGGTGGAAGTCGGGAGTGAAGTAGCGCAGTGAAGTAGGAGAGAGCGTCTCGAGCTCGCGGGTCGCCCCGCTGGCCCGATCGCGGACTGGCTCCGCTCCTCGCAGAGCCGGCGCAACATGGTATTCCACCGTAGTAGTAGTCCACCAAGTTGTGCCGTGGATTATGGGTATTAGAGCGAGAGCCAGCCACACGAGAGTGTAGCCAGCTCCGCTACCAAGTCGAAAACGCACTGGTAAGCCAAGATATATGTTCCGCCTTAGGCGCTCCCATATCCCAGGCTTTGGCTCATACCGCATGAGCAAGAGAGCAAGATGAAGCATGGGATCTGGAGTAAAGGATAGAAGGGGCATCTTCAATAGAAAGGTCTTTTCCGATCTCAGATGCGAGTAGTGCGCCTCGGTGAGGCACAATCACATGTTCGGCCGGGCCCGGCTTGAGCCAGGCACGGCAGCGGTGCATGCTCGATTTACATCTCGCCTTTAACCCTCTCCGTTTAAAGTACCTTGGGCGTCTTGCAGGCCTCTTGGGCAGTGTTGGGGCCCTCTTGGGGCAGTCTTGGGGGGCTTTTGGACCGTCATAGCCTCTTGGGCGATCGTGGAGGCCTCCTGCGCCGTCTTGGGCCGTCGGAGTGCCGAGAAGAAGCAAATGCCAGAATCTTTTAGAAACCTCAGGCACACCAACGATGTTGGCCGCTTCGTGCCCTCCTGGGCGGCCCCCTGGACGCCTTTGGGGCCGTCTTGGAGGCTTTTTGGGGGCCCTCTTGGGCCGTCTTGGGCCATCTTTCGGTCATCTTAAGCCGTCTTGGGTGCATCTTGGGCCGTCTTGGAGGCATCTTGGGGCCATCTTAGTCGTCTTGGAGGCCATGTTGGCCGCCTTGGAGGCCTCTTGGGTCTTCTTGGGGCCGTCTTGGGGGGCTCTTGGGCCGTCATGGGGCCATCTTGGAGGCCTCGTGGGCGATCTTGGGGGCCCCTTGAGCCGTCTTGAGCCGTCGAATGCCGAAAAGAAACCCATGCCCAATTCCTTCAAGCATCTACGGAAAATCAATGATTTTGGCCTCTTCGGGCCTTCCTTGGGGACGTCTTGGAGGCGTCTTGGGGGCCTCTTGGGCAGTCGCAGGCCATCCGGAGGCCATCTCAGGCCGTCTTGGGTGCATCATGGGCGGTGTTGGAGGCATCTTGGGGCCATCTCAGCCGTCTTGGAGGCCATCTTGTGCGTTTTGGAGGCCTCGTGGGCCGTTGTGGGGCCCTCTTGGGGCCGTCTTGGGGGCCTCTTGGGCCGTCATGGGGCCATCTTGGAGGCCTCGTAGGCGATCTTGGGGCGATCTTGGGGGCTTCTTGGGCCGTCTTCAGCAGTGGGAAGGCCGAGCATAAGCAAATGCCAACATCCTTCAACGACCCAAGGGCAATCAATGATTTGGGCCTCTTCGGGCCCTCCTTGAGGACCTCTTGGAGGCGGCTCGGGGGGGCTCTTGGGGGCCTCTTGGGCCGTCTTGGGCCATCTTGAGGCTACCTTAGGCCGTCTTGGATGCATCTTGGGCCATCTTGGAGGCATCTTTGGGCCATCTTGTGGGGCCTCTAGGGGGGGGCTCTTGGGGGCCTGCTGGCGGTCTCGGGTGCCATCTTGGGGCGACGGGCTCGAAATGTCGGTTTGTGTTCCCTCGCTCTGGCCCTCCTGAGTTCCCTTAAGCCATCTCATGAGCTTCTGAGGCCGTGTTGGGGCCATCCAGGGCCGTCTCGCGGCGCTCTAAGGGCGATCAGTGATTTTGGCACCTCAGGGCCCTCTTGGGGGGCCTCTTGGAGCCCTCTTCGAGCGTCTTGGGGCCTCTTGGACCGTTTGTAGGCTATCTTGGGTTTCTTGGTGCGATATGTGTTCAACTTGGGGCCATCTTGGACCGTCTTGGGGGTCTCGTTGGGCCCTCTTGGCTCGTCATATGTGCCCTCGGGCAACGCGGGGCAGCCCAGGAGCGCGCTGGAGCGCGCTGGACCGCCGAAACAAAGATATGGAACACTCCTTTTCGTGCCTGTGGGGCACCCCGTATGTGCGGAAGGCTACAACCTGAGATCAGGTCATAGTTGAATACTGGGTTGGAGGAATACTCAAGATAGCAGTTCTATGTTTCATTACATGACGATCGATATGATAACGGTGAAGAGCAGGAGACAACGCACAAAGGAGGAGGAGGAGGAGGGCGGAGGGCGGAGGGCGGAGGGCAGAGGGCGAAAGAGGAGGAGGATGAGGCGGAGGAGGAGGAGGAGGAGGAGGAGGACAAGGAGGAGGATGAGGAGTATCAAAGGCAGGGTTACGAGGATGACGGAGGATGAAGATGAGCAGCAGGGAGAGAAAGTCAAATGGATGAGAACGTGGAGGAGGAGGAGCAGCAGCAGCAACAGGAGGAGGAGGAGGAGCAGCAGCAGTAGCAACAGCAGGAGGAGGAGAGGGGGGCTCCCCCGAAACGGCGGCCGCCAGAACACACTCTGAAGAGCCTGCAGGAACACCAGGCCAAGGGTATCGTGATGCAGGACCCCTTGCGTTGCGCTGGGCGGCTCCTCGTCGTCCACGATTTCGCCGTCGACATCGTCATCGTCGTCTGTCTTGTCTCGGCGTCTTCTCCATCTTCTTCGTCGTCGTCATCGTTCCTCTTTTCCTCGTTTGCCTTGTCCTCCCCCCTCTCCCGTCCGTGGTCTCTCCTCCTCTTCCCCTCTCATCCCTGCTACCTCGCCGAAGCAATCCCAAAGCACGGCAAGAGCTGCAGAACAGGCCGAGCCTGAGAACCAGGATTAGCAGTGCATGCGCGGCGACTCCCTCAACGATTAACAGGGCAGCTCCTCCTCCTCCTCCTCCTCCTCCTCCTCCTCCTCCCCTTTCCTGCCTCCTCCCTCTCTCACCTCCTCCATCCGCTCCATGCCGCCCCTTTCCCGGGGTGCCGAGCGCCCTGCTGGCCGACGTCCGAGCAATCGCGAGCTGATACGGAGCCGCCGGCCGCCTCTGGCGAGCTGGCCTGCGCAGAGGGCTCCGCCTCGGGCCGAAAGGGCACGCAGTGCGCGGCAGCGCGGGCGGCGCGGGTGTCCCCAACGGCCCCCTGGGGCTGCCCCCCCCCCCCCGCGGAGGCCCACGGAGGCCCAAGGGTCCCGGGGAGTTCAAGCAGTGGGGAAGCGGTCTGACCTGCCTCACTTGCGTGTATAGGCCCACGACAGAATGCTCTGAGAACCTCCTGTGGTTTGCACGGAATTTTGCGAGAACAGTTCTGGTTGAGAGCGTCCTTGATTCAGCACATCGGGTATGTGTTCTAAGAACATCGCTTTTGCTCTAAGAGCACTCTTCTGTCCGAAGAGCATCTCCCGGTAGGCTTACAGGAATGCAGGGGCGGTCGGTCCCTGCTCGAGGGAGGTGCCCTTCCCCTCTAAACTCCGTTCGTGATTTCGCTCTGGTGCCCCTCCCCGTGCACCAGCCACTCGGGCCTAAAGCGCGCAGTGCCTGCGCTGATCATGATGTAGAGGTCTCCCGTCACCCTCCAGATCTTCCCTCCCCGCCGATGTCGGGAGGCATCCACACGGACAGCTTCCTTGAGATCCTGGCGCTGCATGCAGCTCCTGGGCCATCACAGGTCGAGTAGGCTCGAACGACTGCCGCAGACAAATGTCGCAGGCGATGTTTCCCACCCAGCCCCGGTCTTTTCGAAGAAAAATGAAGCCGCTCAGAAAATGAGGGAAACCTGGGACACACTCCAAGGGGGCTATTCGGACCCACCCCTATCGAGGATGAACGCCGCCCCATCGTGTACCCCAGGGTTGGGCCCGAACTTTTCGGTCCATCGAAAACCCCACGAAGCCTGGGAGAAGGGCCGACATGTTCACCTGTTAAGATGGGGTCCAGGGCCCCGGTTGTGATGTTTCGCTGTGTTGCCCTGGTCTGCGATGTCGGAACTCGGTTAGGGCCACCTGTCGTCGCGCGCGTTCCGCTGTTCGCTACCCCTGGCTCCCCGGGAGCGGGCGGCCACGCCCCCCCCCTCCCGGCCGGCACGGTGCCGAGACCAACCGGAGGGAGCACGAGCGCAGCCAGCAGTCGTCTATACGGCGAGGGGGCGAGCCTCGAGGGCCTCGCCTCTTGTTCCGAGGAGGAGAAGGTACCCATACAGCTACACTGCCCCCAATTTCCACTTTTGGGCCTCCTGCTGAGAGGCCCTCGTCGCCACGGCTGGATTCGCCTCGAAATGCTGGTCAGAGCGCATCCCAGGAGAGGTCTGGGGAGTCGTAGTATCGTACCTGTTGGTTTCCCCATGCGCGGCGCGGGGCAAGTCGTGAGAGCCTCGCCTCTTGCGGGTGAGGCAGGGGGCCACAGCGAGCATCGCGTCTCCGAGCAGCACGCTGTGCACCAGGACTATGACTTTCTATCGCTTGTGCCTCTGTGCTTTGGGCCAGTCGCTGCAAAATGACCGTCTATATATGCGCAGGCCATCGCTCGCAGGGTAGCCTGTCTACCCTGTTGGACGTTTCATGCCACGCACGGGCACAGCGTTTGACGTAGTTTAGCGGTTTTACGATCGCGTTGCCGAGCTTGTCATCGTATTGCTCTTCCCTCTACACAAGACGCTCGGCACCGGCACCACGGTGCCGAGCAGCACGACGGGTGCCGAGCACCGCAGGAGCTGGCAGCACCGGCCTCGCTTCCTCGAGCGGGGCGCGCAGTTTGCAGTGGGCTCCACGGCGGTGGGCTGGGGCAGTGGCACACGCCGCGCCGCGCGTAGGCCCATGGCGTGGGCCTGGCCTCGTTCGGACGGGGCCAGGACGAGGATGCATCCGTTCCAGAGCGTTCCGCAATGATCTCGGAGCGTTCCGGAATGCTCTGAGAAGGCCGCGGCGCCCGAGACGTCCTCCAAAGCCGCCGGATTTCAGAGATTCTCGATTCATCCTCACACGATTGTATCTTCGTCATGGCTTCGTCTTACGCGTTCTCCTGCGCTCCTGGGTGCCTTCTGCCCGCTCTGTTCCAGGCTCGCTCGTTCGGCTCTCGCCGGCCGCGTGATTCCAGCCAGATTTACCTCGCGTGACTCCCTGAGTCAGGGGAGAGCGAATGGAGACAACGGTAGTTGGCCTCTTGGAGGGGACCTGGTTGCCACGGCCGGACTCAGCTCGGAAAACTGGTTCGCTTGGGACTTGGGAGGGGTCCATGGATAACTGTTCAGTTGCAGTTGTCTCAAATCGCCTTGCTCCGATTCAGGAACCTGAGGCTGCGGCACTGCACCTAAAGAGCTACTTGAAGAGCTACCTTGTCCTGAGTGTGCCCTCCTTCATTCTCCTCCTCGCGGCCGCCTACCTTTTTTGTTTCGTTGTTTGTTGTTTCTCGTCCTCTCTATATGTATGTATCACTTTATCGTGTTGTTTGTTTCTCTTCCTGCCTTGTTGTTATTGTGTTTTTTTGTTGTTGTTTCTCTCTCTCTCTCTCCCTCTCAGAAACTCATGGCGCCCTGTCCTGGACCCCCTCAACCCTTGCTCATGCACGCTTCCGGGTAATGAGGCTTAGCAGGGAGCTTGAGCCCAAGAGCGGCCATCTAAGCCAACTTCAATGCAGTGAATATAGTTATGTCGGGAGGTGCGTCGGGCCTGCTACTGGTGGTTAAGAGGGGACGATGGCCCGAGGCTGGGCGGCAGCCCTCACTCTACTCACCCTCAGGTTCGCCCCTCCCTTTCCCGCGTAGCCCCTGCAGCCCCCTCGTCTTGAGGTCTTTTCGGGCTCCAGGCTTCCGCCTTCCGCCCCATGGTCTCATCAGCCTTGGCGTGGCGCTCTATACCCCTGCAGCCCCCCGACTCTTGAGGTCCTTTGGGCTCCAGGGCTTCCGCCTTCCGCCCCCCTGGCTCGCTTGGCCTGGGCGTGGTCTCGGGCGCACTCCGTGTGCGGCAGGTCGGCCTCTGCTGGCCGCCTTCTCTAGCGCCTCGCTGGCGCTTCTCTCGGGTGCGTCTCAGGTGCCCCTTGGCACCTCGGCCCCCTCCCGTTCCGTCAGGGTTCGGTTGGGGCAGCTGGACTTGGGACTGCGCCTCTATCTCCCTCTCTCTCTCTCTCCCTCCGTGGATCCTCCTTGTGCCCAGATCGCTCCTCCGTAGCCTGGTTGTCGCTTTGACCGTGGTGCGATCGTCCCACCGCCGACGGCCCAGCAGACCCGTCCGAGGCCGGGCTCGCTCGTTCCCTTTGCCGCCGGGCGCGCGATAGTCCTTGGGGCGCTCAAAACAGGGGGCGGGGCGAACTCATCGAGGAGAACATACTCCCTAACCTAATGACAGTGACGACGTGGCCTCACTCAGGTCTCCTTGATCGCATTAGGGATGATGTGTTTTTTTTGAGTGGTTTGGTTCGATACCTCGGCAGCGAAGACCCCTTAACCCTAATGTTTTTGGGCCTGCAGCACTTCGTGCCCAGTCTGGACTCGACGGGTCGAGCGAGGGGGGGGCAGTGAGAACGCGAGGGTCTTCTCAGGAGGTGGCGGGACGTCTCAGAAGCCCTCGCGCCTTCCGAGAAGGTCTCCGTGTCCTCGGGGAAGGCTTCAACAACTTCGCAGAAGGCCGGCGGACTTCCGAGCCTTCGAGAAGGCCTCCTCCTTTTCACTTCCCCCCCTCGCTCGTCGCCAGTGGACAGGACTCCTTGTCGGTGTTGCCGCGGGCGGTGGTTGCCCCTCCGAGGCCCAGCAGCCTCGCCTCGCCCGGAGGCGTGCCGGGGGTGCCGCCGGGTCGTCCCCGACCAGGCTGCCTGAGGCCCGAGCTATGGCTCGACAGCCATTCGGGGACGGGGGCGGGGAGGTGTGTCCAGGCCCCCAAGGCCTCCAGAGCCCCAGCTGCCTCGATACGCCTGTTTTGATGCGCAACGTGTGCCGTTCTCAAAACGTCCGCGTCGATGCGTTGCACGCGGGCTCGACGCACTGGCCCACGTGTTGGCGAACGGAGCGCGTCATACCTGCGTTGTCAGTCTACGTGTTGAGCTCGGCATCTGTACGCCACGTGTTGCGTGTTTCGCATCGGGGCAGCTGACTCCAGCGAGATTTCTCACGAGGCCCAGGGGGCCCCATGATGGGGGCCCCAAGACGGCGCGCAGAGCTGGTGACCCCCTCGGCCAGGAGCACCTTTCCAGGGGCAACGTTCGGGGGAGCTCGGGGGTGGGGGGGGGCCTGCATCGACCCTCAACCGCCCATTGATCGCCGATTGGGGCCCGATGGCACACCCCGCCTGGGCTCGTGCAGTGCCGCTATCGGTGGCCTGCAGTCAGGTCGTTGAAGCAAAGATCATCTTGGGCTCAGGAGGTGCTCTGGTCTGCGGGCCGCTCGTCAGATCCAGGTCGGTTGACCTCTTCGTGGTTGAGGCCGTGGCCAGAGGAGCCCCAGACGCTCCTTCTGCTGCGCTTCTTGCGCGGTAGCACGATGTCTGTAGGCCGCCAGGGGGCCGAGGAGCTGGACGCTGCCGCTGCGCTGGCGGCCGGCCTCGGGGCCACGCAGGCGCGGGCGCGCGGGCGCGCGGCGGCGAGGGGGGGGAGCCAGGGCGGGCGTGAGGGGCCGCGCGAGCGCGGGCGGCAGTGGAAGGATTCGGGAGGGAGCACGCTCGCGGAGGGTTACGGTTCGACGGCGAGAGTCGAGCCCTGCCGTCGCAGATCAATTCTTCAGGCAACTCGTTGGGCGGCGTGTGTGTGTGTGTGTGTGTGTGTGTGTGTGTGCAGAATGCGTGAAACACGTGGCGAAATCCCAGTCCTACCCCCGCCACCATCGATTCAGGAGAACCGACGGTTGGTGGGGGCAGGGCCCGGAGGTCGCCACCTAAGGGTCGGTTCGTGTGGTGTCGACGCGGCAACGACTTCAGCGCGGGTATTCAAGGCTGAAGGCCATCAGCGCCCACAGCTCGGCCAGGGTTGAGTGATCCGCGCCGTCGGGGGGCGGTGGTCGTTTACGTGGCTGAGCGAGCCACGTGGTGGCAGAAGCCAATGCCCTGGTCGTCACGACACGAAGCTGCCGCAGAGGAGGGATCGCCAGCGCTCACAGGAGGCGCACTTCTACATCCTGACCACGGTCGGCCCCAAAGCCGAGGTCAGGGATGGCAGCGTGTTGTGGCAGCTGATCCAGAGCCTGCCCCCGCTGATACAGCAGGCCAGGCAGCCTCTTTCTCCACCCCCTCACTCCACCCCCGCCTCCCCCCTTCCCATCCCTCCTTCTTCTCCCTCCTTTCTCATCCTTCATCCTCCCTCCTCCCTCGTTGTACCGCGTCCTTCATCCTTCTTTCTCCTTCCTCCCTCATCCTTAGTCTTCCCTCCTCCCTTATCCTTCATCCTCCCTGCTCCCTCATCCTTCCCTCCTTTTCCCTCCTCCCTCATCCTGCATCCTCCCTCCTTCCTCCTCCCTCCTTCTTCTCCCTCAGCTCCCATCCTTCATCCTCCCTCCTCCCTCCTTTTCCCTGCTCCCTGCCCCCCCCATCTTGAATCCTACCTCCTCCCTCCTACTCTTGCTGCCCTGGAGGGTGCCTCCCCTCCCTTGTCACTCCTACGTCGACTTCCCTCCTCTCCCTGTTCACCCTTGAGCCAGCGGGAAGCAGAGTGCCTCGTGAGAGAGGTGTTGTAGCGCCCACAGTCTTTAAAACTTCGGCCCGTATGTCGGGTCTTCTTGAGCGTGGAGAACTCCTCTCTGAGAGAGGAGGTGAGAGAGGTGTTGTAGCGCCTACAGTCTTTAAAACTTCGGCCTCGTTCTCGAGCTCTGCTGTTGCCGATGCTCCCTCTTTCTCCATCCCTCAAGACTTTGCGCTCTCAGAAGCTGTTTTTTTAAGGGGTGTCTCAGGAGCCGAGAGGGTCCGTTTCGTGCCCAGGGTCCGAAGCAGCACGTCAAGGCACGTCCTAGTTCTTTCGCCAGCTGGGGTTGACTGCGAGAGCGTGGCGGTGCCATCGCCCCCCCTCACTGGCACATCCCAGCGTCAGGGCGGGTCGAGGCCCGTGTGAATTCCACCTGCAGCGCCAACCGCTGTGGGAAGCTGCATCATCGACGCCACGCAGGCGCTGGTTATCATTCTTCTTAATTTAGTAGGCGCGTCTGATAGCACCCTAGAGTTGCCTTGCCTTGCATCCCTCCCTGTACGGCTGTCTGTCCCCCAAAGCAATCTCTCTCTCGCTCTCTCTCTCTCTTTTTCTCGTTTTCTCTCTCTCTCTCTCTCGCTCTCGCTTTCTCGTGTGTTGTTACTCTCGCTCTCTCGTTCTCTGTCTCCCTCTGTCTCGCTCTCTCTCTTTCTCTCTCCTTCTTTCTACTTGTTCATACCTGTTTCCCGTTATGCCATATTTCTCTGTATCGTATAACATATAAACACATTTAGAGATACACATATCTATGTTCAGGTGTGCCGTTCTTCTCTCGCGCGTCGAATACTTTAGATGGACGCTGTCTCATACTATCTACCGCCTTCCTCTCTCTCTCTCTTCCTCTTCGTCCCCCTCTCTCCCTCCTCCCTCTCTCTCTCTCTCTCTTTCTCCCACTATGTATGAACGCTTGTACCGCATACTCAAACCTGCCATTCGTATGCGCAGATGTGTGTATAGATATATGTGTGTGTATGTATATGTATATAGTATACGTATGTGTTTGTGTGTCTGTGTGTCTGTTTGTTTGTTTGTTGTGTGTGTGTGTGCCTGCTCCCCCCCTCTCCCTGCCCCCTCCCCGTATCGACTGTGATTTCCACATCTCCCTTCTCCTCCTCATTCCTCTCCCCCCATCTCCTGCCTCCTCATCCTCTGCTCAGACCGTGGACGATAACACCGCGGAGGGTGTGCAGCTCTATGCGTGAGGCTGACGCCAAGCTCGCCTGCCTAGGAGTCCTCCTCCACCTCCTTCCCCCTCCTCTTCCTCCTCATCCTCCTCCTCTGCGGTCGCCAGAGGGCGTGTCGGGATCGGCCCCACCCCTCCTCTTTCTCCTCCTTCCCTCCCTCCCTCCTCCCTCCCTCCTCCATCCTCTCTCCTCCTCCTTCTCCACCTCCTCCTCCTCCTCCTTTTCTTCCTTGTCCTCCCCTCGTCGTCCTGCTCAGATGCCATCGCACGAGAGCGCGTTTCGGGGGCCGCCTCGTCCCATCGTCCCATCCCCCGTCCTCGCGCGGCAGTCGTGGGAAGGCCGTGTGGAGATCGCCCCTCCTTCCAGCCATCCCTCCTTCTCCTTCTCCTTCCCTCGCTCCCTCGTCTTTCCCCTGTCGGGGGCATGGGGCTGCCCGTCTGCGCTGGAGCCTCTCCGCTGCACCCCTCCCTGCGATCCGCGGCGTCTGGCGACTGGTCGGCATGGCAGTTCGCTGCGCCTTCCGCGTGGGAGCAGGAGGATCCAGGAGGGAGAAGGGAGGACGAGAGGGAAGGGAGTAGGCGGAGGGAAGAGGCCGAGGGAGGAGGCGGAAGGAGGAGGAGCGAGCAGGAGGCACAGGAGGAGGAAGAAGACGGAGGAGGAGGACGACGGAGGAGGAGGAGGAGGAGGAGGAGGAGGACAAGGACGAGGAGAAGGAGGAGGAGGAGGAGGAAGAAGCAGGAGGCGGAGGAGGAGGAGAAGGAGGAGGAGAAGGAGGAGAAGTTGGAGGACCAGTGTAAACCCAAGAGTCATCAACGAGGTTGGAATTAACCCTCCCTCCAAGCTCCCTCTCCATAGGCCCCATACAACGGTTCATGTCCATTGAGGGAGCTGCCCCGTTGGAAGACAACCTTTTTGAAGCCCTTAAAGCATTCCAAAACATCGTTCTCGAGATTTCCACGCCACGGATTAGCCTAACTTCTGCGTTTTGAGGATCTGGAATCGTGCCAGTACGCCATTTTTGGGACTTCGACGCCGCCAAGTAACATAACTGATGCACCCGCAAATTCCTGAGTCCTTCCAAAACGCTATTTCTGGTACGTTAATCATGGGAGCACGTGAAACTTGTTTGAAATGTGTACAACGAATGTGCGCGGCGCTAATACGAGAACCTTATTTTGAAAATGAGCCGCCCTCAATCCGTGAAGCTCTTGCAAATTTTCAAGCGACTGTGCGCGGCGCTAAGGCGAGAGGCGCATGATGAAAACCACCCGCCCTCAATCCGTGAAACCCTTGGACATTTTTAATGCGAATGCGCGCGGTGCTAAGGCGAGAACCACGTTTTGGAAACCACCCGCCCTCAATCCGTCAAACTCTTACTACATTTTTTTTAAAAAGCGACTGTACTCGGCGCTATGGCGAGAACCACATTTTCAAAACCACGCCCTCAATCCGTGAAGCTCTTACACATATTTGAATGAATGTGCGCGGCGCTGAGGCGAGAGCCACATTTGGAAACCACCCGCCCTCAGTCCGTGAAATTCTTGCTTGTGTTGCAAACTTTTCCAGCGTCAGAGTCATTAGTGGTGAGGAAGTCTCATGCGAAACGCCCGGCCCGACCTAAAAACTGGCCTCGGGGTGCGACAGGGAGACGTTATCTATAAGGAGAAGGAATGGAGGAGGAGGAGGTGGGGGAGGGCTCTGGCCCACCGTGGGCCTCCCCCCGACCGCATCGTCCTCCGCCCGACCCCTTTCTCTTCATCCTCCTCATCCTGCTTCGCCCTCCTCGTCCTCCCCTTCTCCTCACACCCCTCCCCCCCTCTCCTCCTCCTCCGCCTCCTCTTCTTCCTCCTTCACCCTCTTCTGCCTCTTCCCTGCCTCTCCCCCTCTGCCTGCTCCTCTTTTCCTCCTCCCTCATCCGCCTCCCTGTCGCTCCGCCGGACGTGCCGTTATGGCCGGCCGGGCGTTTCACCTGAGGCTTCTCACCGTTGACGGCCTTGAAGCATGAAATATCCAACATGTGTGCATTCGGAGGGCGGGTCGTTTTCAAAAAGATGTTCAAGCTTTGGCCCTGCACACACGTCTCAAAACGATTTTAACGGATGGAGGACGGATGGTTTCCAACATTGGGCGCTCGCCGTGGTGCCGCTCACACTCGCCTTAAAACAAGTCTTACAGTTTACGATTGGTACACGGGTGTAGGGTGAACCATTTTCACAACGGGGTTCTCGCCGTGTTGCCGCGTGGAAAATAATCAGATTTCTTTTCAAGATGGGACTATGGTTGGGGACTTCGTCAACACACCGTACTCGCAGTATGCATGCAATGCAGTGGTGACACGAATGGAGGGTGGTTCTTTTCACACATATATGGGCGAGGTTCTCGCCTGAATGCATAGATGTCCAGAGCTACAAAAGGCCTGAAACAGTTACACAGAAAGAGGGCGGATCCCTGTCAAAGTGGGGCCGCCGTTGGACGCGTCGTTGAACCCACCGCCTCGCATTCCTTCCAGCTCGAAGGACGGAGGGCAGTTACTCTTCGGCACTGAAATCGCGCCAGCATGGCGGGTCCATGGGCCCCGTCCTTCGAGGGGTTCGCTCGGCGCTGTGGCAGTGATGGACAGATTGACGAGAGGGGGACGTTGGGACTGGAAGGTCTGGAGGGCCCAGTCTACGTGCTTCCGGAACACCCATATCTCGGGCCTAGAGATGGTGTCCTTCTCACGTTCTAGCCACAAGCGTCTACGGACACATTGTGTGCTGTTACGTTTGTAGACTCATTCGGGGTGGATGCGTCCATAGATTATGCGGCCGTTGCGTTCGTCGAAGTACAGGGTTGGAGAAAGGGTACATCCGTCTACGGCAAGTCCCTGTTCTAGACCAGGTCCCACACGGTGTTCCAAGCGAGGGTGTATTGCAGCATCGTTGTTGCATGGGTTTACTCTGGCCCTCCTGAGAGCGTTTTTTATTTCATTTGTTTATTTGTTTCGCTTCTCCTCTGGCGGTTAACGCTTGTTACCCGACCCCCCCCGCGGGTACGGCTAACGATCGCACGTTTTTTGGGGGTGGAGGGCGGGCCCCCCCTCTCAGCAGGTATGGCAATTGATGTGCCGATGGCGCGGATGCACCCTGGCGGGCGCACGCTGCGGCCGCCGTCACCGTTACCCGCCGGCCCCCGCCTGGGTAACAGCCCTTACCCCAAACAATAAAAAACAGACAGTCTCCATGTTCTTCCCCCTCTCCTTCCAGAAGCCACCTTCTATATCTTTGGGCGCTCCTTTAGAAAGCTCCAGAAGCCATGTGGTGGGAGAGCGCTCGAGCCTCGAGCTCTGTTGAGGCATACCTCCTGCCCCTCCTGGTGCGAACCTTCAAGGATTCACGTACCCGGTAAGGAATTTGAGTCAGACGGCATTATGTCATGTATGTGTTGATTCAGTGCTATCTCATTATGTGCCATACTGTTTTGCGTGTGCTTGCACGGCCACCCAATTTTGCAGCAGACCTTCTCGCCACGCTCGTCGTCATCCTGGAGCCTCCTGGAGCCTCCTGCTGTCTCCGGGGACAGATGCCTAGGGTATTTGTGAAGGTTACCTGGTGCGTCCTTCTCTTCCTCGTCTTCCCTCATCCTCATTCCTCTTGTTATGCTTCCTCCTCCTCCTCCTCCTCTTCCTTCTCCGCCTTTCCTCTATTCACGTTTCTTATTCTTTCTCCTCCTCCTCTTCTCCTTCCTTCTCCTCCCCATCTCTCTCATCCAACATATTTTCCGTCGTTTTTGATCTTGTCTTCCTTACATCTTCCTCCTCCTCCTCTTCCTCCTTCCTCTTCCTCCTCCTCCTCCTCCTCCTTCTCTACCCTCTCCCTCTTCCTCCTTGTCCGACATTTCCTCCGCACCATTCCTCCCCAATTTCCACCTTGGGGCGAGGACAGCCCGCCCAGGGCCGGGTCGCAGGTGGCCTGTCCGTTCTGGCACCCCTGCACGCCGTTTGCCTCTTAAGCCGTTTGGGGGGCCCTCAGAAGGAACCCCCACAAAAGGCGTCGAGTTCATGTCGTTCTACGCCTCCGGTTTTCGAGGATAGCCCTTAGCGAGAGCGTTACTATCTAGGATAGGAGATCAAAATTGTGCGAAATCTCTGGGCATCAAGACGTTCGGCGGATGTCAAAAGGGCAGTCAGAATGTTAGATTCTTAGGGTGTCCTAGCAAGTATAATCATAGCTTGCACATGTCATCGACATGCTATCGACATGTGCGTACACAGACATCAGTCAGCATATTGGTTTTGAGGGTGTCTCAGGCGAGAGCTCAGCCAATGAAGATACGTCAAACTTGTAAGCTCACTGGGCATATCCGTTTTATGAGGATGCCTGCAGCGAAAGTCTTCGCTAGTGACAAACGACGTCGGAACGCACCTGGTTCGCCATCCAATGGTTGTGAGGATCTCTCAGGCGGGAACCTCCTCTGTGATAAACTCGCAGTTTCGCGAGCGATCTCAATTTGTTTGTTTCCCGAGGATGTCTCTGGCGAGAGCCACACTTTTCAGAGCCAGTGTGGTTAGCCAACTTATCCGGCATCCCGATTTTGTGAGGTGGTTCAGGGAACACGCCCCCCTACACCATGATCGATATCCGACGCCCCGTGCCCCGCACCCCTCCGGTCTAGTGCCAAAGACCCGTCCACACGAAAAGGACCTTGGGCCCGAGCCCCTCACCCGGCAAGCACTCCTCCTCCTCTCTCCTCCTCCCTCCTCTTCTCCCTCCCTCCCTCCTCCACCCTCGGCTGTGCGCGCAGGTGGGGCCCCGAGGCGGGGAGTTAATCTCGATGCCTCCTAGATAGGGTCGGAGTAGATTGGGTCGGAGGATCGCTCCGCATCACCGATGCATCCACGATGCAGCTCGATGCGGAGCCAGGTTCTCTCCACGCCCACGTCGCAGATGCGTCAGCGACGTCGGCGATGCATCGGCGATGCATCGACGATGCATCGCCGATGCATTGGCGATGCGGCGCGATCCTCCGACACCATCTACTTGGACCCCATTTAGAGAGCCTCTAAAATCCCGGGTTTGCTCTGGTCCTCTTTCCTCCCTCCCTCCTGCGCCTCCTGCCCCTTGCCGCTGCTCTTCCCGCTCCTTTGCTGCCGCTCCTGCTGCTCCCGCGGCGCCGCTTCGGTTCGCCCCTCCCGCGAATCAACCGCCCCTCCTCGCGAGGCAGCAGGAGGACCTTCGCTGAAGGGGCCCCCGGGGCCACGGGCAACAACCGGGTAGCCGAGGACAGGCCAATCCATCCCACTCCACAGAGGAGGAACAGGTGCCGATACCGCTGCCCTTCGCCATTTTTCCTCATTTTCGGCCTCCTCGGAGGCCCTCGTTGCCACCGCTGGATTCGTTTTGAAATCCAGAAAGGGCCCCCGGAGAGAGTTTTCTCAGCGCATGCAGCGGCAAAATCTGGACCCCCCATCGGAGTATCCTGTCTGCCTTTCGCTCGGCTGGGCGCAGAGAGGAGGCGCGAAGAGGGAGAGGGGGGGGGGGCAACAGCAGCAGGCAGGCAGCAGAGAAGCAGGGCAGGATGGCTTCCTGTCCTTTCCTCCCGCCCCCTGAGCCCTCGCCCACCCACCCCTCTCCCCCTGCAACGCCGGTCCGCCGACCCCGACTGCGTTTTGGCCTAGGCCCCGAGGGGTGGCGCCCCTCGCGGTGTGGCGGTCATGGCACCGAGGGGCCTTTCACCAGACGGCGACGACGACGACGACGACGACGAAGAAGAAGAAGAAGAAGACGAAGAAGAAGACGAAGACGACCAGTCCTCCCCTCCGCGCGTCCGCCCGTCAGGGCAAGCCTTTTCGGCCCTCGGACCTCCCGCCGCCAAGGGCAAGAGGCGGGAGGAGGGCGGGGGCTGGCGGCTTTTGCGAAGAAGACCGCCATCGAGCTGCTGGGGAACCTGTGGAAGTGGGCCGCGGGCCCAGGGGGCCGGGATCCCCTGCCTCGTCCTTCCCTCCCTCGTCCCGTGTGGTGGGCGCGGACGTGGGTGGGGCACGACGGCGAGAATGAGGAGGAGGGAGTGGAGGAGGAGGAGGACGAGGAGGAGGAGGAGGAGGAGGGGGAGAAGGAGGAGGAGGAGGAGGAGGAGGAGGAGGAGAAGGAGGAGCAGGAGGAGGATCAGGAGGTCCAGCGCGAAGAGGAGAAGGAACGTGAGGAGGATGGGTGAGAGAAGTAGCAGGAAGGTGAGGCCCGTGAGGAGGAGGAGGAGCAGGCGGAGGAGGAGGAGGAGGAGGAAGCAGGAGGAGGAGGAGGTTAAGGAGGATGAGTGCAGGCGTAGGAGAAGGGCAGACGGAGGATGAGCAGGCGGCGGAGGAGGAGGAGGTGGAGGAGGTCGGAGGAGGCTTGTGTCCACTCGGGTGTGCCCTGAAATCAGTCCCCGAGTTGCAAAAAGGACACGCGCACAAGTTCCTTGTACGCCGACGCGGCCCCAAGATCCCATGCTCCTCTGGGCCGCCCGCCAGCGGTGCGAAGACAAGAGCGCCTTGCGCTCCACAGTCTGGGCCGCCAGAGGGCCGCCTTCACGGTCGGAGATTGTGGCATGGAGTGTCGCGCCGCCAGTTTTGGCCCACCACGCCTCGGCGCGATGAGATAGCCATTTCCCAAGTCCCAAGCTTCAACGTCCCGAGCCGGATCGACACGCTATCAGGGTATAGCATTTCGCCGGGGCCGCCGCCGCGACACGCTCAGCAGAAGTTCCTGACCGTACCCCAGGGGGTGCGCGCGAGGGCCCGAAGATACACCACGCTTCGCAAGGTCCTCTCGGGAGCGGCGGGAAACATCGAAGTGCGACATTCTAGTGGTGTTGGTATGTTTTCATGTGTTTTGCGGGTCTCTGGGCGGCTTCTCGTCGCCATGGCTGCATTTACTGCAAAATTCTGGCCAGAACGTTTTCCTTGAACTGTTCCTGGAGTTGAGTTCTGACCACCGAGCCTGGAGGGGTGACCCTTCGACGGAGTTGCCTTTGGTCTGGGCCCGCTGGGCTCCCTCGATCGCGGAACGCGCTCGAGCAGCAGTGGCTTGCGCGAAAGGGGGCTTGCGACCCCCCCGCCCCCCCCTGAGGCCGCGCACCAGAGGCCCCTCTTGGCGGGGGCCACTCTTTGCGTGCAGCCGAGGCAAGGACCCATCGCCCCCAGGGCGCTCCGGGATGTCCTCAGGGCGCTCCGGGAAGGTCTGGCGCCCTATGCATCCCTCCGGACCCGGTGGCTCTCGGGTGTTCTCTGTGCACGGTCTTGGCCCCTGCCATCTCATCGCTCCCCGTGGGGGGAGGGGGCCGGTGCCCCAGCTGCTGGATCGCGCAGCGGCATGCCTGCACGCTCCTTCCTCCTCCTCCTCCTTTTCCTCCTCCTCCTCCTCCTCCTCCTCCTCCTCTTCCTCGTCCTCCTTGTCCTGTTTCCCCGGCTTCGGTGGTGGATGCGGCCCGTGGTGCTGCAGGCGTGCTGCACGGTTCTGTTGTGGCCCCCCCGAGACGGGGGTTGGTCCCTGCTGGCGCCTGCAAGACGAGCGGGGCTCCGTCCCGATGTTCTGGTCCGTGTCGGCGGGGCGCGCGCGCGATGAGGTCAAGACCCGGCCCGACTTCCTGCGCTCCTCCCTCGAGATGATCTCGACGCTGCTGATGACGTCGGCGCCCACGGGCGCCACGCCGCAGGTGCTGGAGCGGGTGAAGCAGGCACGGGCCCCTTCGCACCCCTCGCTCCTGGAGCTTCCCCGCTCTGCCTCCCTGCCACCCTTCTCCCCCTCGCAGACATCTGAAGGGTTGATCTGTCCAGTCCAGGTGCCTCTCCTTCATGCCGCCTCCGGGTACCATTCTCGGGCACCCCGACCAGCAAGCTTGGTCATCGGGGCGAGACACCAAGTAATTCTCCCCAGGAAGTGACCGCTGGGGCCGCGGATATAACACATCACATCTGTCGGGTGTATGGGCTCCCATGCCCACGCTGTGTCGATGGTAATCGTAAATATTATCTCCTTAGACTTGCAATGGGGGTCTGGACCAATGCTTACAGTCTAGCTGGCCAGGTCAGTCGCACGGCTGCAGTCTCAGTTTTCAATCGTACCCGACAAGGTCGCAACATCCGATACTCCGATACTCCTCCCCTGTGCTGCTCCTCCTCCCCCTCCCTCTTGCTGTGCCTCCTCCCTCCTCCTCCTGCTCATGCTTGCCTCCCCCCGTTCCCTTCCCCCCTCCCCATCTCCCTCATCTGGGTCTGTCCTCCCCCGCCTCCTTCTCCTTCCCATGTACACCGTCGGGCCCTGCGTGTCCGATGACGGACCCACCGTTGACCGCAACCGTCCAGACTCGTTCTTGTTCTCGCCCTGCTTGTCCTTACGTGGTCCAAGCTTGACCTTCGTTGAACGTAACCGTCCGGCCCCCTATTTTCGCTCGCCTCCCGCGTGCCCTTTGTGTTTCAAGCTTGGCCCCTCGCTGAACGCATTCTCCAGCTGTCGCGCCGGAGGTCGCTGGCAGGCCGCCAAGAACCGCCGAAGGCTGACGGCTGAGGACCGTCCGTCCATGGTGGAGCGCGCGCTTATTCTACACTCATCATGCCACCTTTTCCCGACCGACCGTGCCGCCGAAACCACCCCGCAGTCGATTCGACCCCCACCGGCCCGGGCGGCGCAGCCTCATTCATGCACAAACCCGCTCGCGCGTTTCCCCCCCCCTCCCCCCCCTTGCCAGGAGCAGCCCGGGTTCGCCCCCCCACCCGCCCCCACCCCCCTTGCTTTGCCTCCAGTGGTGGCGCGGGGCGGCCACGACTTGGGGCTGCCAGAGGTGATCTTGGCCAGAGATACCACCTAGCTTTAGCGCCATTATGTCTCCCTTTGAGGCCTTGAGGCCCCGTGGGGTTATGGGGGGTGCCCTTGAGGCCATCTGACTTGAAGACAAACAAACGTTGGCCACCAGCTTGCAACACGCCCCTGCTCTATGATCGGCAGCAGCTCAACCCGGCACCGATCTGAAGGACCCTCTCAGTTTCCGAGGGTACATCCTTCAGATTGTTTTCGCCTTGGTCTCGCCGATCCTCGGGACGGGGATGAGCTCGAGGCTGGTTAGCCGGGGCCGCCGCCGAGCGGTGCGCCAGCCGCAGCCCGCGACGCGGCTCGCCCCGCAACCCCCTCGCGGCAGGCGAGGCGACTCGCGCGACATGCCTTCACCCCCCTTCCTGGTGCCCAGACCCCCTCGCTTCGTGAAAAATCAGCCGCGCGCAGAGTGGGGTGGGGGGATCTGCACGAACGAAATGGGCACGGAAAGAATGGGTACAATGCCCAACAGCAGTTCCGGTTCATTTTGAACAGGATTCGCCGTCCGCGCCGCCGCGGCCTGTGTCCATTTGAGACAGGAGGCCCCCTGCTCAACAGCGGCCGCGATTAGTTTGGGACAACATATGCTGTTGGGCATTGTGCCCATTCTTTCCGTACCCATTTCGGGCGTCCAAAGGGGATGGGGGAAGGCTTCTCAGAAGTACCCTTGCTCTTTCTAAGGCGCGGGCCTGTTTTTTGGGTGTAAGGCTGGCGCCTTCTGAGAGGCAGCCTCCTTCTACGAAGCCTTCCCCCCTCTCCCTACTCCCTTTGGCGCGCCGCCCAGAAAATCAGAACGGATGCTTCGCTGCCCGGGTGCGCCCGTGTTGACACGCAGCACGCACCGTGCTCAAGATGCCGGTGACAACACGCTGCGTGTTGGCTCGGCGCGTGTTGGCCCACGCTTTGGCGAACCTATCGCGCCAGACCTAGGTTTCGAGTCTACATGTTGAGCTCCGTGTCAACACGCTACGTGTGAAGCGTTGCGTATCGGGTCAGCGAAAAAACGGACGTTCTTGGCGCTTTTGTGTGCAATCTTCGGCCTCCAGTGGCCCCTGCGGGGCCCGGGGGGGAACACCTCAGGATGAAAAGCCGGTCCCGGGGAGGGGTCCAGGTTTCCAGGAGCCACGCTGTGAAACAAAAACAAGCACGACGTTTGGGGAGCCGCTCCTGGCCCAGGGTGTCCCCAGCTTCTCTTGCCGCTGCGGGGTCCTCCGTGGGGCCCCCTGCGGGGCCTCCTGGTGGGGTACTCCTCGGATGCCGCGGGAGCCTTCCTGTCGGACGGGGCTAGGACGAGGATACATCCGTTCCGCAGCGTTCTGGAACGCTTTCAGACCGTTGCGGAACGCTCTGGTAAGCCCGCGGCGCCCGAAAGATCCTCCGGAAGCCGCCGGATTTCAGAGATCCGATTTGTCCTCACGGGACTGCTTCCCCCAGGGAGGCCACCCCCGGGGGCAAGCGGGGCGGGCCCCAGGTTGAACGCAACGGCCGCCACCCTGCCGACGTCTACCTGCCACAGTGGCACAAAGGCACGGCGGCCGCCCAACGCTTTGCCGCCACGTCTGGGCTTCGCGCCGATCTCCTCGCCGCGTCGGCCGCTTCGTCCAGCGCGGCGACGAAGCGGTACGAGGAGCTCAAAAGGCAGCACCAAGTACACTGCGCGGCAGTGCGCAGCCCAGGGTTTCACCTTCCTCCCCATGGTGGTGGAAGCCTTCGGCGGCGGGTGGGGCCGCGAGGCACGCAGGGCCTTGGGGGTCCTGGCTAAGCGGGTGGCTGACGCCACGGGAAAAGACGCCGCACTTTTCGCGGACGACTTTCCGCGCATGCGGTGTTGTGGCGCGGCCAGGCGCAGTTTGGAGAGCCGGGGGTTGCAGCGGCCCGCCTGGCCACGGCCACGGCTGCCTCCACGGCGGACGCCGTCCCCGTGGCGCCGCCTAGCACCCCCCGCCCCCCCGTTTTCTGGGCAGCGCGGACGCCCCCGCGCCTTTTCGCCAACGTCGCGCTGGCGACCCTTCACACGCGCCGTCTGGCCCTTCCTCGGCGTGGATGTCCCCACCAAACCGCACTGTGCTGGGTTCGGTCGGCCACCCCGCCCAGGTCGCCGCCGTAGGGTCCGTAGCTTCATCGCGGGTGGCTCTTCTCTCCCGGCCCCTGTTCCGGCCTGTCTGCTTGCGGTCGTTCCCCCCCCCCCTCCACCTCGTCTTTGTCCCCCTCCTCTTCCATTTCCTTCCCTTCACTGTCAGCCTGCGGCTGCTTGGCCTCCCCTCCGTTTCTTTGCCTCCTCCCCTTTCCTCCTGCTCTCTGCGTGGTGCTTTCGCCCAGTCCCCCCTCCGCCTGCCCGCCCGCCCCGCCGGCCCCGGCTGTCCGGCTTCCCGCGCTGCTGCCCGGAAGCAGCGTGGGATTTCCCAGGACGATGTTTCCGATGTTATCCTCTTCTTGGCTCCGTCGTATTTTGGAGCTCCCGTGGGCACCTGGGGCAGGGAAGCCTCCGGCAACGCTTTGCCTTTGTGGGCCGCCCGCGGCGGAGGACTCACCGCCCTGACGGCGACCGCCGCTCCCGCCACGCGCCGCGCGGACCCGCGGCGGCCCAGTCCGGCCAGGTCCAGCAGGCCGCCTCCATCGCCTTCAAGGAGCGTGCCGCGCGAGGCAGGCCTCTCCCGCGCCGGGGGCCGCAGCGCAGCGCTCTCGAAAGCTCGGAGGGCCGAAAGCACCTTGACACCTCCCCCCCGCGGGGGGGGCCATTCGCGACGGAGGCCTTTCCATACTTCGCGGTTTCCGGGGCCCCTTTGCCGACATCTTGGGTCGTCAAAAAACGACGCAGGATGAAACACCGGACCTTGGGAATGGGTCAATAACACCGAGGGTCGACGTCGTGACACAAAATACGTCGGGGGATCACTTGGAAGTGTCGGGGGCTTTCGGGACCCAGGGTGGTTGCCAGCAGCTGCGCCTTGTCAAGAGCGTTCCGGGGGTGCTGGAGCCGTCCCGATCGATAGACCGACGAGGATCACTGAAGGTGTCCGCGCTTTTGTCGGTTCTGCTGCGTCGCAGACGGTTGCGCTCGGTCGGTTCGGTCCGGCCAGCTGCCGTGCCTCAGTTGCGTCGATGCGCCTTTCTGGGCTGCCTGTGGCCTGTCGTTTGTTTGTTATTCTAAAAATTCGGGGGACCTTCTTGTCCTGAATATTGTATGGCAAAATTGGAGAGGCCTGGCGGCCAGTGCCGCCGACCCTGATCGAAAGGGCTAGGAGTGGGGGGAGGAAGCGGAGGATGAGGAGGAGGAGGAGGAGGAGGAGGAGGAGGAGGAGGAGGAGGAGGAGGAGGAGAGGAGGAGGAGGATGAAGAGGAGGAGAAGGAGGAGGAGAGCAGGAGGAGGAGGAGGATGAGAGGAGGAGGAGGGGAAGGAGGAGGATGAGGGGGAGGAGGAAGAGGAGGAGGAGGAGGAAGAGGAGGAGGAGAGGAGGAGGAGGAGGAGAAAGAGAGGAGGAGGAGGAGGAGGAGGAGGAGGAGGAGGAGGAGGAGGAGGAGGAGGAGGAGGTGCATTCTTTGTGTGCCCGCTCGAAGATAGTGCCCCCCGGGAGTGTGATATTCTGACTTGGGACGTGCTCCCGCAAGAGGAAGACATGCATCTCGGGCGTGCCCGCTCGAGGAAAATGCGCCCTGGGGGGTGGTATTTTGACTCGGGTCCCGCTCCCGGGACGCCTCTGCGGGAGGAGGAGGAGGAGGAGGAGGAGGAGGAGGAGGAGAAGGAGGAAGGAGGAGAGGAGCAGGAGGAGGAGGAGGAGGAGGAGGAGGAAAAGGAGGAAGAGGAGGACCAGGAGGAGGAGGAGGAGGAGGAGGAGGAGGAGGAAGTGCATCCCGTGCGTGCCCGCTCTAGGAAAATGCGCCCCGGCGGGCGTCGTATCTGCCCCGGCCCTCCCCCCTCCCCCCCCCTCTGCGGGGAAGGGATCAAAAGGAAGGGGCTTCCCTTCGACTCCACTACGACGTCGTTTAATTTCGCTTTGGATAGCGCGCTTGAGGAGGAGAGCCCTGGGAGGGGGAGAACGGAGCTGACGGAGACGACGAGTCGAACGGAGAAGCCCCTCACACACGCCGACAGGGTCGGCGGATTCTCTTGTACTCCCACGTGGGTTCGACGCGGATTCGACATGGACTTGACAGATCGGACACCGATTCGACGCGCTCGACATGGATTCGACACGGATTCGACGTGGATCGCGGCGCAACGGGGCAGGTCCCCCGAAGATGCAACACAAGTTTTGGTCTGTTTCTGTTTCGTTGTCGGTTCGGTCGGTGTTCGGTTTTGTTGTCGCCGTGGACGGCCGTCAATGCTGCCCGAACCACTCCCACTCAACCAGAATGCCTCAGACCCTCCAAATTTTCGGATCGGGGGGTATACGTGTCTCAATGTTCTGGAGCGCCCCCCATTGGAAATTGACAGGCCCTGACCCCTGACGTGCGGTGCAGTGGGCGCATGCGTCAAGAAGTCTTGCTGTGAGGCATCTCGGGGCACACTGTTCTGTCGATGTTGGACTTCGCGCGAAGCCCAGGAACTCTTCTGGATGCCCTCGGGCCGTCGGGGAGCATGAAGTCTTCTTCGGGCACCTGGTGGCAGGTTGGTTCCTTCCCTGGCGTGCCCTCTGCAGCTCTTCGCCCCGGATGCCCGTGTGATGGCCCGGGGGCCCGAAGGCGGCCCCCTGGCAGCCGAACGTCCAGAAGTATGGCAGCTCTGGGACGGAGCAGTTGCCGGCCGCGGAGCTGCTCGGGGGCCCGGCGTCGGGCCCCGACGCGACGCAGTGGGCACGTACGGCAGGGGGATAGGTTTCAATCGGGCAGCATTGACGACCGTTTCGCGGTGTTTGAACTCGCTTGCTGGTGTGGAGGATGCTCTGCAGTCTGCTCTGCTCGCCAGTGCCTCTCTGTCACGCTCCCGCATCTTGGTCCCTACATCCCCAGGGCGGACATGTGTTCCTCTTGGGCCTGGAACGACGGCTGGAAGTTTTGAGCAGACGCGCGTGAGATAACCGCCGTCGGATCCCGTGAAGATCGCGCGGATCCAATTGTGGCTTTGGCGTTTGCTTCGGTGGATCCGATTTCCCTTCGCGCGGATCCGATTTCGGATTTGCTGGATCCGTGTTAGATTTTTTACGGCGGATCCGATTTCTTCCCCGTTTTCAATTTCTAATATGGCATATTGAGACGGGGAACCGGAAGAAATCGGATCCGTGGACCTCGGAACCCGCCCGTGTTAAGATTCTACCGGGGGAGGGTTTTCGGTCATTGACTTCCAACTCATCATCGCCAGTTCGTCGATTGAGCTTCGGGCCCAGGGTGAGAGATGCGAAATGATCTTGGGGTACCCATGTGCAGGCCAGCTTCGCATTTGGTGTGCCCACTGTATCTCCACTGTCCGCGGTCTAACGGCCCGTCCACAAGAACCCACACCCGCGGCCTCGCTGCCCAGACTCCTTGGCCGCGGCCCCGAGGGATAGCGGGCGGCTCTGCGCTGGCGATCCCCGCGCGGGAAGTGTCCACGGGATCGCGCCACGGTGCTCAGACCGCGAGGGCACTGGCACGGACAAGTTCCGTGGCTCGTGGCGGGATGGGGGCCGATGCGGGCGTGGGGCCCGCGCGGCTCAGGGCGGAGAGCCTCTTCCACGACAGGCGCCCTCGGATTTTTTGATGAGGCGGCGATTGTTCAACAGCGCGAGGGGACTCGCGCGGGGAGGGTCGAGGAGGAGGATGAGGAGGAGGAGGAGGAGGAGGAGGAGGAGGAGGAGGAGGAGGAGGGAGAGATTAGAGGAGGAGGATCGCGGATGAGGATCGGGGATAAGGGAGTGGGTAAGGACGGTTCATAAGGAGGAGGCAGAGGAGCGAGGATGGGAAGGAGGTTTTTCGAGGAGGAGGATCGAGAGGAGAAAGAGGAGGAGGAGGAGAAGGAAGAGGAGGAGGAGGAGGAGGAGGAGGAGGAGGAGCAGAAGGAGGAGGAGGAGGAGGAGGAGGCAGAAGGAGGAGGAGGAGGAGGAGGAGGAGAAGGAGGAGGAGGAGAAGGAAAAGTAGGGAAGGGAGGAAGGGAAGTAAGGACGGAAGGAGGAGGAGGAGGAGGAGGAGGAGGAGGAGGAGGAGGAAGAAGAGGAGCGAGAGTAAGGGAAGGATGAGGAAGAGGAGAAGGGAGTGGAGGATCATCTTGGTGTGTGGGGGGGGGGAAGACCGTGGGGCAGGACGACAAGGACAACGAGGATCGAGGAGGATGAGGAGGAGGAGGATGAGGAGGAGGTGGATCGAGGAGAAGGCGGATCTGGGCGGGCAGCGGGGGGCCTGGGCGGGCAGCGGGAGGCCCCATACATGGGCGCGGGGCCCGAGAGGACATCTGCGTCAACGGCAAGCAGCACCTGCAGGACCTGGTGCCGCAGGACCAGCGAATCGCCGTACTCTGGCTGCAACTGCTGCTCCTCTCCCCCCCTCTCATGATCCTCGTCCTCGTGGTCGGCGTCATCGTCCTTTTCCTCTTCCTCTCCTCTCCGCCTCCCTCCTCATCGTGTTACTGTGGGGAACTGCGGCTTAGCGTGTCGCGCCGCTGGTTCTGGCCCACAATGCCTCGGCGCGACACGCTGACCACTCCCGGGTCCCAAGCGTCAGCGTCCCGAGCCTTTCGCAGTTTCCGCCCCGTGAAGAGGAGCGCCACGCTATACTTTCCGCTGCCAGGGCATAGCGTGTCGCCGGGCCCGCCGCCGCGACACGTTAAGCAGACGTTCCTGACCGTATCCTTCTTACTCCGTGTCGTGGTAGTCGTCCTCGTCTCTCTTTGTTGTCTCTGCCGAGAGCTGTGTGCATGGTGAGCGCCCAACCCGGATGGCACAGTCAAGACGATGAAATAAGGACCAATCGGGTTCGCAAGGGGCTCTCCGCTCCGTAGGCCCTTCCGTGGCTGCGTTTCTTTAGCACTCCTCTTGCACCCAGGCGACTTTGGAACCCCTGACGGGTTTCTTTTTCTGTTTCCGTTGTTTCTCGCGTAGATTCCTCCCGAGGCAGTCCTGTTTCTGCTGATGCCTTCTTTCCTCCTCCCTCCTCATGTTGCGTGGGCGCATCAGCTGCCGGATTGTGGGTGTGAAAGCCTCTGCGGGGCACAGGAAGGGGGTATAGTTGACACGATGGTTACAAGTAGCCCCAGCTTCGGAGACGTGCCCATAGGTTCTTGCTTTCTGGGGCTCAGCACCTTGCAACTCTTCTCGTGTTTTGTATGTGCAAGGGTCTGTGGTGAGGGGGCTTATTTTTTGGCCCCCGCTCGCGTGGCCATGTTTCGGACGTCTTCGAAAGAACGGGCGGCGATCAGCTGACCCAGCTCTACCTGCAGACCATGGCGATGCCCAGCCGGATGCACCTCTTCATCGTGGACGGCGTCGGCGCCGTGGTGACCAGCCTGCGAGAGGACCGCTGGGCGGGGCCACTCCAGGAGAGGTGCAGCGCACGTGGAGCTCCGGCCCCTCGGCGACTCCGAGCCCCTCGCTGAGCCACCCAGGGGGAAGCTGCTGGGCGAAGCTGTGAGCCAGGAGCCTGGATCGAACATGAGCCCATCTGCGCGAACAGGCTCCTCGGAAGTCAGCGCGGATTTTCTGGCATCGGCGCTGCAACCCCCTGGCGGCGCCAGGGAGTGGGGCTCTCGCAGGCCTAGAGGTTGGCACCCACACCAATGTCGGCGGTGTGCCTCCACCGAGGGAAGAAGATACCGATCTCGGCGATGGTGGTAATGCTCTGGCTGCCAAGGTGACCAGAATATTTCCACCGACGCCGAAGTCTAGGATCATCTTCCCCTTGTTGAGGCACCCCCCTGTGTTGGTCTTGGTGCCCATTGCCAGGCCTCCATTGCGCAGCTCCGATCCAAGAGAGCCGCCCGGATTTCCAGGTGCTCACGTTTGGGGTATAGTATGTCCCCCATGTCTTCCCGGTGGAGGCAGCGCGGGGCCAAGGCGTGGGTGCGGCGATGTCCTTTCGCGCCTCCTCGCCCCCGCAAGTCCGAGGAGCAAGACGTCATGATGAAGATGATGATGACGATGATGATGACGATGCCAATGATGGTGATGATGATGATGATGATGATGATGATGCTGATGATGATGATGATGCTGATGATGCTGCTGATGATGATGATGATGATGATGACGATGGTAATGATGGTGATGATACTGATGATGATGCTGATACTGATGATAATGCTGATGATGTACATGATGATGATACTGATGCTGCTGCTGATGCTGTTGCTGCTGTTGATGATGATGTTTGTCATTGTGATGGTGCTGATGATGATGACGATGCTTATGATGATGATGATGATGATGATGATGATGATGATGATGATGATGATGCTGATGATGATGATGATGATGATGGTGATGATGCTGCTGATGCTGCTGATGCTGCTGATGACGATGATGACGATGATGGCGATGATGATGATGATGATGATGATGATGATGATGATGATGATGATGATGATGATGATGATGATGACGATGATGATGATGATGATGATGATGATGATGATGATGATGATGATGATGATGATGATGTTGATGATTATGATGATGATGCTGCTGATGCTGATGCTGATGCTGCTGCTGCTGCTGATGATGCTGCTGCTGCTGCTGCTGCTGCTGATGATGATGATGATGATGATGATGATGATGATGATGATGATGATGATGATGATGCGACCTGCCCTGCGAACGTGTAGGGGGTGCAGAACAGAGTCCGTTCTATTTCCCTCAAGCCTCATAACTTCAGGGAGCACCTGTCCTGTATGCGCCAAACTCAACCGCGCATCCCTCCTGGGTGCACGCTGGACGCCCTGTGTCCTGGCCTGGTGCGCAGCGGCGGCGGAGGGGGTCCCCCGGACGAGCCGCCGTCCGCAGCCTTCTCGGCCGAGGCCGCCTCTCGCGAGGCTGAGTGGGCCGCGACGTACGCCCGCAACCTCTCAGGCTACTCCAGATTTCGTAATACCAGGGAGGGGGTCTGGACCCTCCAAGACAAGCCATTTCAGACCTCCCCCGTGGGAGAACCCTCCAAACATCGTCCCCAGACCCCCCCAGGCCCTCCAAGATAGCCTGGAAGAGACCCCCCCCGAAATGAGACCCCCCTCCCTTTATTACGAAATCTGGAGTACATTGTACGCCCGCCCGCCCGCCCGCAACGTCGTACGCCCGCTCTCTCGGGCGGGCGTACGCCCGCAACGTCGTACGCCCGCCCGACGTACGACGTTTGCAGGAGTTCCGCAGGGATCAGGCGCAACAGCACGCCGACGCGGACTCGTTTTATGTGCATTTGATAGGGCGGGTGCTGACGGGCATCCTGACACAGATCGTGAGTGTGCTCAGCCACTTTTGTTTCCGTCATGGCGCTGTTGCCCCGGTTGCAGCTCTACCAAACGGAAAGGAGCGCCGCCGTGGCGGCGGAGTTCTTCAATAAGTTGCTGCAGGGCCGCATCGTCACCTTCCACTCGGGACGATCGCGGCATCTGGCACGAGCGGGCATTGATCTGGCTGGCGGACGCCCAGCAACCACCCACGCGATGGGACGATTGTGACACCCGATGGCGACGTGCACGAGGAGGAGATCGCCAGCGGCGCCGACGGAGATGGGCCCGACATGGGCTCGCGGCTCGCTGACATTCGGCGCCACCTCCGCTCGGCAGCGACCCGCCAGGCGGGTCTACCGCTTCAGCGCCTACCCGACGGATGCCGAGCTGCTCGACATGGTGCGTGCCGCGAGGCGCGACGCACGGGCGGCTGGCCTCCGCGTGTCAGAGCCCCCGTGTTTCGTGCCGAACGGCGACGTCCTCGGCGGCGCCTCTACCGTCAGCTTCGATGAGGTGCCAGGCTTCTACCGGCGCTTGGGCCGCAAAGGCCCACTGCCCCGCTTGCGGGCCCTGGAACAGCGGCGGCATCCCCAGCTCCCCTCCCACCACCGGTGGGCGCGCCACCAGGCCTGGACGAGGACGCCAGGGACGGGGAGCTGTTGGACGCTGGGGGGACCGCCAAGTCCGCGCCAAACCCTGCAGGCGCCCGCGTGCTCGTGAGTGCGGAGGCGTCGGCCTCTGGTCTGGCTCGGGTCTGCCGCAAGTCGGTGCAGAACGAGATCCAGCGGGGCGACGAGGTCTCGCTGGCTCGAGGCGACGTCATCTGGGGCGAGAGCGGCCTACGCAGCATTCCGAATGGCTTCATTGCACCGATGGGGTTGGTGCCGACGCCGATCGTTGGACATGGCGCAAGCGACGACGAGGATGGCGCGCGCTTGTTGGGCCCGCTGGTGCGCAATCGTTACGGTCGTCGCCGTCGAGACTTTCGAGATTCAGTCGGTCGGATGCGTAAGGAGGTCCTCGATGACTTCCCTTTGTCGGGCGAGCACAGCTACAAGTGGCTGTGCGAGTGCGTTCTCGGTCATGGAGGTACCCCCGACGGCCGCCAAACCAAGTGAATCAGCGGCAGCTTTTTCACCGAGGACTCGGCCGCCGCGCACGTCCACGACCTCCTCGGGCTGTCGAGCGAGCTTGCGCGGGCCTATGATCAGGCCGACGGCTCGAACTTGGCGCGCCTGGATGCGCGCGCTCGCACGCATCAGCTGGTCGAGGAGACCGTGGGCAGCATGGAAATTAAGGGGGTCGAGCATTGCGTTGGCCGCTCGAAGCAGCGCAGAGCGCGCGCCGCGGCGTGGCCGCGGCGCCCTGGCTCGCCGAGCGGGCCGCCGAGCAGCTTGCCAAGGGGGCCGAGATCCAGAAGCTACGGCGGGAAGCGCGCGAAGAGCGCCCCCGACGCCATGAGGGGGCAGGGGTGGCCTGGGGCCGGCGGAGGGGAGGTGGCTCGCCCCGACCGACGCGTCGCGGGATCCAGCTTGTCTACTTGGCGCAGGCCACCCTCCTGGTGACGGGGCGCTTCCGTTTGCTGCCCTTGTCGCGCCGGTCTCGCCGCGCCCCCTTCCTGGACTATCCCGTTCGGTTCGGGCTCGCATCCGCCATGCTCAGTTCATCGAGGAGCGGTCTCGGGGCGCCGCGGAGCGCCTCAACGCGCGCGGGGGCCGCGTCGCACCGCGGTGCGCGCCGGAGAGCCTTTCAGACATGGGCAACCGTTAGTTCAGGGGCGCCCGCCGCCTCCGTCGCCAGATGGAGTCCCCGGCGGACGCGTTGGCCCAGGAAGCTCGTTCAGAGCTTTAGGGCCGCCCATGTCTTCGCTGCGACACGTCCAGCCATCTGCCGCCGGGGCCATGTGCGCCGCGGTTCGCGAGCTGGCCCCAACTCGGGAACGAGCCTGGCTGTCTTGCAGACCGACTCGGGGCCCGCGGCCGATGCTCTCTCCCGGGCCTGAACCGTGCCCTGCTGCTGCTGCCGCCGACGAGCCTCGACGCCGTCGCGGGGCGGGGGGGGGGGCGGGCCCGCGCCAAGGCAATGCGTGGGCTCTGCGCTAGAAAGGGGCCGCACGATGCACGTAGAATTCGCGAAGTCGGGGGCCTCCAGGGGCGTCTTCGCGGCTGGCAAGACCAGGGCGGAGGGCGCGGGGGCGTTCTTCGTTGCCGGGAAGGACGGCTGTATCAGGGTGGCGCTTTATCGCCGGAGGAACAATCAACGGTTTCAGCCTCCCCCGCCAATTAGTTTCTTATCTGCGGCGATCTGCGCGGAATTAGGAGCGCCCGGGGGGCCCCGCTTTGCTTCGCGGGGGTCGACGCCCAGAGCGCCTTCAACCGACGCGAGCTGCCTGCCCACCTGCGGCCTCTGTTCTGCTTGTCCGCCGTCGCCGCGGGCGAGCTGGGCATTGCCGGGTTGGAGGGGCGTTGCGCAGCTGCTTGGATTCGCCTGCGCCCGCGGCTGGCTGCGGCGCCGACGGGCTGGGGCTGGGCGCCTTACTTCGCGCGGCGGGCCCGCGAGCGCGCGCTGGGCGGCCGCGACGCCGTCGGGCCCGAGCTGCGGGCCGTGGACTTCGCGCCGCCGCCGACGCCGCTTGCCGAGCCGATCCGCCCCCTCTGCTTTGACAGCGCAGGCCGAAGGAGATTGGGGGGGTCGCGCGCGCCAGGCGGCTGGCCCCCCAGACATTGGAGGCCGCGAGGCTCGCGGTCCAGGACGAGACCGACGTGGCGGACTCCGCGGCGACGCTGAGGGGGCAGTCTGCAGGGCGGCCTGCGCGGGCCACGCTGGTGCCGCTTCTTGGGAGCTGCGTCTGGGCCGTGGGCGCCCGGCGCGGCGTCGCCCCTGGGTGATTAGTCGCGACGTCGAACGCGCGCTGGGCTACTGCACCTTCGCGGCGCTCCGCCGCCGCGAGAGCCTGAACTGCCTCGGCGCCGTCGGCGCCTTCGTTCAGCAGAGGCGCCGGCGCGCTTGGCCGCGGTGGGCGTCGGCGCGAAAGGAGCAGAACATTTCCACCGACATCCTCGTCGCGCTGCGCGCGCAGCTGGGCGCCCCGCGGTCTTCAGAGGCGGTCGCGGCGGATGCCTGCGAGACGGGCCGCGCCTCGACGATCGCCGAGCGGGACATCGTCTAACCCCCGCCCGCGGATAATGATCCCCCCCCCTGTCCCGCACGAGAGTTCATTGCGTGGGCCGATGCTGTCTGGGTCAGGGGGGGGAGGCGGCAAGGCCGAACTTCTTTATCGCGGGGGCCAAGTTGCGCGTCGAGGTCGTTCTCCTCTCATGTTGAGTAGTGAGGATTCAGCTTTTTTTATGTCCTATGGATGTCCTAGGGGCCCATCCGAATTCCTTGTTGTTTCCGATGGATTTCTTTTGGGATTCAATGGGTTTCTGAAGGGTTCCGATGGATTTCCTACGGGACCCGATGCATGTCCTAAGGGGTCGGATGGATTCCCTGGGGATTCCTATAGATCTCATGCGGAATCCGATGGGTTTCCAAAGGAATCCAATCGATGTCCTGAGGCTGGGTTCCTGTGGATTTCCATGGAGGTCCTATGCTTTCCTAAGGGGCCTGGCAGATTTGTTTCGGAACCGCATGGGCTTCCATGGCATTCCTGTCGAATTCTTTGTGGGGCCATTTGGTTTGCATATGGAATCCAATAGATTTCACAAAGGGATCGGCTGGATGTCCTGAGGGCCCCTTATCAAGGAATCCGATGGATTTTTGAGGAAGTCTCATGGATGTCACGCGGGTCCTTGCATATTTCCAAATGATCCGATGGATATCCTAGGGGAACCGATCGGTTTCCTATGGGGCCCAGTGGCGTTCCAGAGAAAGCATGTGGATTTCCATAGGATGTCTTTGGGCCTCCAGCAAGGAATCCGGTGGATTTCTTAAGAATGCCTATGGACTTTTGTTTTAAAAGGTCCCATGGACTTCTGGGGGGGCGCATGGCTTTCCGAGGAAACCACATCGATTTCCTGGAGGATTTCCATGGATGTCTCACGGGGCCACATGGAGTTCCATTGAGAATCATATTTTTCATTTCCGAAGGAATTATGTGGATGTCCGAAGGATTCCATCCAATATATGTCCTCAGGAATTGTATTGACGTCCTAAGGCGCCCAACTGATTGCGCAAGGGGTTTGTTCGATTTCCAAACGGACATTTCGGCGTGCCAAAGGAGACCAATGAACTCCCATGGATTCCCAAAGGAATCGCATGGATTTCCCCACGGGGCCCCATGGATGCCCCAAGGATTCCGATGAATGTTCGAAGAAATCTGATGGCTGTCCTCAGGAATCCCATGTATTTCCTAAGGATGCCCATGGGTTTCTTGGGAAAGCCTATGGTACTTCCAAGGATCTGGATGGGTTTTGCCAGGACGTGCATGGATATCTTGAAGACTCCGAATTGTACATGTCCTGAGAATTCCTACGGATGACCAAACGAATCCTTTTTCATGCCAGCGAAATCCTCTCCCCCCTCCACATTGCGCGCCCAGCCCGTGCTCCCCCCCCATTCTATATACATGCATGTAACAAAGGATGTCGTTACATACGTATGGATGTCCAAAGGAACCCTATGCATGTCGTGAGGAATCCTATGGCTTGCCGAAGGAATCCCATTGATTTCTTTCATATGCCGACGGCTTCCCTAAGGGGGGCGACTGATTTCCCGGTGAATCCTGTAGACTTCCCGCGGGTTCCTATGGATGCCCTATGGCGTCCTGCGAACTTCCTTGGGGGAATCTTCTCGGTGTCCTATGGTTTTCGATGGATGTCTTACGGAATCCTCGGTTTGTTCTTACAGCTTTTATGCATTTCCATTCCCGAAGGGCCAAGTGACATCCGCGAGGAATCCGCCGGACTTCCAAATGAATCCCCAGGCCCCCCCCCAGGCCACGGTCGAGCAAGATTACAAGTTCCCCAAGCCGGCCAAATTCGACTGGCGCATCTGCAGGTCCAGGCCTCGCAGATGGGATCCGAGTAGATGGGGTCGGAATATCGCGTCGCCAACGCATCGCCGATGCGGCTCGATGCGTGGCCCATCTTTCTCCGCGCCGACGTCGCGGATGCGTCGCCGACGTCGCCGATGCATGGCCGATAACATCGCCGTTGACATCGCCGATGCAATGCCCATGCTGCGCGTTCTCCCGAACACATCTAATTGCCACCCCATGTGGGGGGCCTCTAGCAGGGCACGTCGGCGCACCGAGCTCGCCCATCACTGCGCGATCATGAACTGCGAGCAGATCAAGAAGGGCGACGTCCTCGAGCTGGGCGCGGTGAACGCGCTGCTCGGCGAGATCGAGGAGCGCGCGGGCATCCCCCAGAACGCGCCAGGGCAGGGCGAGCCCGCCGCCCAGCAGCCCGAGGAGCAGAAGCGCTGGGCCGACAGAGTCGAGAAGGCCGAGCACTTTCGATCGCGGTGCGCTCTGAGGCCCCCGCGCGCAACGCTAACCTCGAGACGCCCAGGCAGGGGGCGGGCGCGGCCGTCGGGCGCCGCGGCGCCCTCAAGCAGCCGTCCGAGAACGCCGAGCAGGCCGCTGCGAAGATCCTCCGAAAGCTCGGCGCCGCCGGCCCCGCCGAGCAATGTCTTGCGAGCGGCGACAAGATGTCCCAGACGGATGGCTGGACACGCGGGCTCCGGGTGGCGAGGCGGGTCGGGCGCGCCTCGCGCGAGATCTGGGGCGAGGACCGCCGGCCGCCCATCGGCGTCGCCCTGGCGCGCGCTCGAGGCAACGGGTGGATCCGGTAGCTGCCGGGACCGAGCGACAACCGCCCCGCCGCGGCCATGGCCATGGCCAAGGCCAGGAGCAAAGGCGAGGCCGAGCCCCTGAGGT